TAAAAAGAAAGGTTTGTGTTAATATTGTTTGCACAATTAAATGCCTGTATCTTGTACTCTGTTATTTAAAGATAACAATACGCAATGGCTGTTTGTTTGTGGCACTGGGGATTGAACTCAGGACCTTGTGCTTGCCAGGTACAAACTTAATGCTACTGAGCCAACTCCCCAGCCCTATGCAATGTATTAACCATTGTAACTCTCCCATTATCTTGTTTTGAATTTTTGTTTTATTTTTTTCCTCTTTTAAAAAAAAGCCAAAATGACAAGTGTTGACAAGGGCGTGTAGAGACTGGAATTTTTGTAGAACATGGTGTACATTATAATTCTGTACTTTGAGAGATTGGGGCAGAGGGACTGCAAGTTAAAGCCACTTGGGCAGCTTAGCAAGACATTCTCAAAATAAAGAATAAAAAGGAGTGCCAGCAAGATAGTTCAGTGGTCTAAAGTGCCTGCTTAGGCAAACTTAGGCAAGCTTAGGCAAGCACAGGGACCACGGTTCAATCCCCAGCACCACATGCCATACCAGCCCCACCCCCAGAACAGGCTAAGTCAGCCACAAAAAGTAAATAAATAAATAAAAAGGGCTCAGGATGTAGCTAGCGTGAAGGTCCTATATTTGATCTCCAATATAGGGCGTGAGGGTGGGGTTAGAACCCTTGCAATATAGGGAATGCGAGGAATATACAATGGTAGAGGCACTGTGGGTGTTTCCTCAAAAAATTAAAAATAGAATTACCAATTGAACTTCTGGGTACACACCCAAAAGAAATGAAAATAGGGTCTCAAAGACATATTTTTGCATCCACGTTTATAGCAGTTTATTCACAAAAACAAAAACTTGGATGTAATTCAAGGATCCACTGCCTGATGAATGTATAAACAAATGAAAGAATTCATACAATGGAATATTACTCAGCCTTAAAAAAGAGGATTCTGACACATGCTACAACAGGGATGGAAGTTCAGAATATTATGCTAAGTGAAGTAAGCTAGTCACAGAGACATGGTTCTACTTGCATAAGATACTTTGAATAGTTAAAATCAGAGATCGAAAGGGTGACATTCTAGGGCTGGAGAGATGGCTCAGTGGTCTAAAGCACCTACTTAGAACAAGCTTGGCAAAAGCATCAGGGACCGCGGTTCAATCCCCCAGCACCACATGCCAGCCAGCCCGCCCCCTGGTGGGCTGAGCTGGCC